CACTGAATAATCAAACGAGAGAGAAATGTCAGGAACTCGATTTCCTCGAGTAAATAAACAAAATAAATTCCAAGTATTAACAGAATAAGGTTTGTGGTGCAACATATATCAATAAGCAAGGTTATCAATAATATACCTAGAGACTTAACAGCCGAACCCTAGGTGTCTGTCTACGAGTAAAGCAAAAGGTAACAAATTACAGTTACAATACAAATGGTATATTAAACCACAAGATAGTAACATTTGTTATGAAATAAACGTTACTTGTAAGCTGCTCTCTGAGATATTAAACCACAAATGAGTTCACTTGATTAATGAAGACTCCTCTGCACGTGGTGGCATCAATGGCGTAATGAGAAAGATTGAATCCAATAGTATTATTTAATAATAATCCGGGCCAAAAATCCAACGTAATGTAGAAAGGCCTAAAAGGACGTTATAACACCATTATAGTCTTCAATCACAGATCGTGGCCAATGAAGCAGAAAAACAGACGGCGGAGATAGCGTTTTTATTTTCCAACCAACGCAGTAGTATATCAGTATATATATCCGAACAATTATAGTCGTTCTTTTTAACCATTGATACAGAAAAACAATAGATATTGAATACAAATGTGGTTGCATATAAAGTGTGACAAATTCGAGAAAAAAATGTGGTTTTTATTTTGTCGTTACAAAAATCACTGAATATACATGTCACCATAGGCTTTAGTTGAAAGTCATAATGCATATAAGTTCATAACTTATGATACATATAACCTCAAGAGGGAAATATTTCACAACTTTGAGAAAGAGAATACACTTTTACAACGGTCTCAGCTACCCTATCTTTTAATGTGGTAAAACCAACCAGAATCCCAGATATTTATATGGAAATCTTTTTCATGTTATTTATTTGTCAAGAGATGTCACACATTGATTAGTGACAAGTGCATCACCAGCATAATGTAGTTCGATAAATGAAACTATCATTTTGTTATATCATATATCGATGATGCGATTATTCTTCATTCTCTAACAGTTAAAATGATATTTATGATTCTCATTACACAAATTTTATCTCAGATCAAACTTTTATTTGCCTTGTTCTTAACATCCAAGAGCGTAGTTTGTTCAAAAAGTACATTAGATGAGTAATAACGAGTATTATTCCATTCTCAAATTTGGTGATCAAGGAGTAGATAAAAATACAAAAGGGTCTTGTAGGTGGTTTAATTATAAGCTACTATCATCACACTCGATACTTCGATAGCAGAAAACGTTTTCTATGGAATTCACTTGCTATTTCAAATACCAACACTTATTTAATCGATAAGTAATTCAGAAAATCGTATTGATGTCTCAGAACAATAGTGAACAGAAAAATGAACTAGGTCTATGAACCATGGATTGTAAAGCATATCCTTTTCTCCAATGTCAAAATATCACTGTATTGTCGACATCTACTCAGGTACATTTTATCTTTGCGTTCTCAATCTTCAAATAAAATGTTTACATTTCTTAATAATCACCCATTAATTGCTAGAAGGTGAACGGTAATTTGCTTCATTACATCAGTGGTTGAAAAATGTAAGACTCATCATCAATGCAAGACGAAGTAGCTCTATCTCGTGCAACAATCCATAGATTGTCCTCAGATTAGTGTATTATTTTAGCCTGTTATTATGAGGAGATATCATCTGCTGTCTCACTGGTTTCTTAACGAATAAACACAACTCACTGAATGAGTTTTTTTTACCAGTAATTGTTATCATCGTTTGACATCAGTTGAATAGACATCAAAAAAGGTGAACAGCTGCTTCGCCTTACCTTCACAGTCACACCAGTTCGTAGCAATTCATGACGAATCTTTGAAATAAACATAGATAACTACTGATTATAAGTATCTAGGATTGGCAATGCAGGTTAGGTTTAGCTACTAATATATTTCTGAGTATAATATGTTATTCGTTCACAGTGATAAATTTGTCTGAATGGAGATTTGTGGAGATTGTATGAATTTTAATGGTTGAATTCATGAGCCGATCCAAGCTAGACCGCCATTTAAAATCTGGAAGCACTGGACGACTGATTGAGTTTAGATATTAACGCCGCAGAATGCCGGGCAGCTCATTGGTCTAGAGGTTAAGCGTTTGTGCACGAAACTGAAGGACGTGGATTTGAGTCCCGTGAGCGGAATCGTTTATGCGTACTGCTGAGGAGTCCCACACTAGCATTAAATGGCCTTCCAGTGTTTTCAGGTTTTCAGTGGTGGTCTAGATTAGATCGACTCATGAATTCAACCATTCAAATAAATTTATTTGTCGACTATTGAATCACAAGCAAATTAATTTTGCATATTCCTACACATCATGATGGTATCTAAATTTCTCACATCACTTCAAATCTCACTAACACTCGTTTCATAGAGAACATGATAAATATAAGACATACATACTCCCTATACATTGACTGTACTAATATAATATTAAATAAAGCCATTAATAATAATTTCAAATACCTGTATTGTAGTTTAGTCATAATACACAGTGCAGTGATGAAAAATTGTTGATAACATTTTTCAGTGTTTTTCTTTATAATGACACCATTATGATTTGTCCCAACCACACCAACTCTGAAGTACAAACGTGGGTTACTGATATGCCAAACACTTTGTATTCAGCATGTATTTCAATGTTGAATGAGAAATAAGGTTTCTCCAACTAATCTTTAAGATTTCGATGAATTATTTCAAATATATGTTTGTCAAGCGACCGTGAATTGATTTTCGTGGTTCATCATTAATTTGCATTCGTTTACTTCAACTTGTTAACTCATGTATGAAAACAAACATCTAAAATGAATCATTTGTTTCGAATAATATGAAGAGACAATGTGATGTAATGAGTTATTGTGTGATGGTGTAATCGGTTATTTTGTTGAAAATCCTGTATGTTAAAATTAATTAATCAAGAATTTGGAAGAAATCCTCATATTGTAATTAGTAGAGTGAAAAGTAATTAAAATAGAATATTAATTTCGATTCATTACATCACCTAAAATTCAAATTGTCTCAATGATATTTTCAAAATCTTTGATTAATATCTTAGATAACAATTTTCCTCTATAATCTAGTATGTTCATGAACATCTAAACTCCTAACCAGTTCAAGATTTCTCAAACAACTCAAAGTTTTGTCGTTCAATAATCCGGAAACCAGTAAAATAGACTATAAATCGTCTAGTCCTTGAAAATCATCCATGATCTTCATGAAAATAAACGAATTTTTATGAATATTCTCGCTAGTTCATCTATTTATTTTCTTGTTTAAATATAAGAAATATTTTGTAAAGTTTATTTCAATTAAATGATAAAAGTGAAATAGAGAAAATTCAAATAGCCATAACAGAAGTTATGTCACTTCTTTCAAATACAATCTAAAGTTATGCTTTGAAACAATTAGAAAAGAACAAAAACCTACTTTACTAAATCCATTGAAAAATCAATAAAATTCTGATATTCCATCAAATCCATTAGTTCCTATTCAATATTTTTGAATCAAAGCCAATAATAAAATTGTTTGCTCGTTCATTAAATTAAACGAAAAGTCAAACTTCATTTCGATAAATAACACGTTAATATGAGAGAAACTTTATTGATTACGTTCAAAATATTAAATGAAAGTTGTCACCTTCAGTTCGATCCTACTAACACTTAATTTTATGCTCAATATCTTAGTCTTCGAGCAACTGAAACTGCTATTTATTTTAAAAATATTCCCATATTGTGAATTAGAACAACGTATATAAGCGAATAATATTTTTTCCGATTAGAGCAAAGCCTAGTGAGAATCTAATCGAAAACAATATTGTTCTTTTGTATATATATTGTTCTAATTTAATATTCATTCGACTGTCGTGATATGTGATTGTCAGTAATATTTATGTAATGACTTTTACCATCTGTCTATTGTCATATGGGTTCGGCGAAACGATAACTTGAAATTGAAGATCAGTATTCGATAAATATAAACTAGGACAGATTAAACTACAATATATGGACGACCTTTGAGCGACGTTAAAGTGGCCTTCAGAATGCCTATCTACTAACTATGACTAAATGAGGGTTATAAACCAGTGAGGGGAATTAGAATTGTGACTTACAGTTGGTGGCTACGAATTGACATCAGCTAGATAGCCAGAGCGCTATTTACCGAATGGACGAATGAAGTCCGCGCCGAAATTCACGACCTACTATCTTATGTCTGATTGGTTTGTCCATAAGTTATAAACTTGATGTCTTTTATAGCTTCTGCTCTCAAAAATATGCAAACATAACCATATAAATCCGTCCATGTCGATAAGAATTTTGTATTCTTGAAAAGATGTGAATACTAAAATATATATTTCGAAGTCATCGAACTGTTTATGTGTATTGTGAGGAATTTATAGTCGATATTAGAAATGCAGTGTTACGAATTTATAGAGTGATGTAGAAGATTTACCACTGGATACTGCGTTTCACTTTATATATTGAAACTAAGGTACATAATTTTGAATGAGAGGAAAGAGTTCATTGGCAACTGACATCAAGTCAAAACAGACCGAACTGGATCTTTGATATATTTAAAGTATTAACTATAATGTACGACCAAATAAATTAAATTTTCGTTGAAAATCAAAGCGATTTCCATACTGAACGAAAGTAACATTTAGATTATATTTAAATAATGGAAAATAAAAGTAAATCATGTCAAACATCTAGCTTAATACTCAGCGTTCAACATTAAAATAAGTGTTGCAAATACAATAAAACATATTGAAGAAACACAACAATCATGCTTACAACAGTAATTTAATGTCTTTTCGTAGTCACTTCTGAAATGTACAAAAACTAGTGTCAACTCAATAATTGTGACATAATTCCAGTATCACATGAAACTAATCCATGAAGAGTTTACTGCAATGTGTTATCATCGAATTCATTAGATTACTCTAATAATCATTATTAGGAGCAAAACTAGAGCAAACACATGTCTGCACATTGAACTGTAAAACAGATGAATTACACATAAGTGATTTTCGTCAATATACGACCACCGGAAGTGAAAACGATCAGTAAGGTAACGCATTTCGATTTCAGCAAACTGATTTGCGACACTTCAATGTCATTGAACAACAAACACGGAGAATGTGTTGACAATGTGGCACTCAAACTATATAAGAAGAAAGAATTGGATGTGGCAACAGAACACGATAAATCATCAACAAACATAATGCATGTAAGTCCACAGTTAACTATGTGTACGTAGAACTAACTTGATAACTGACACGATTCGAATGTACTTCTTCACAATCTTCTTCTCATACTTGTAAATGATGCCTGTATATTTTCCATTTCATTCACTTGTCATCCGAATTTACTTCATCATAATAATGCCTCAGTGTGGTGACACACAAATTACTACACCATCCATCACTATTATAATTTATCATGTTCTTGCCACAGTTACCACAGAATCTATCCCTATTCACATTTCATTTCAGATCCAATATCTGTTTGTCATTTTCCTAATAACCCTGGATGTGATTTGCTCACAACGTCCACAAGGTGAGTGGAAATCAGTAAATTTTCATTCTGAACCTTGTTGATAACTGACCGTATTAGAATGCGGAAGAGTCTTGCAAGTAGTATTCCTTATGATTACTCCCATCACACTTGTGTGAATGCAGTATACTGACGTGTACGCATTTGCGATCCGAACATTTGATAAGTCCAATTTGACTGTGATTTTGAATAATGAGGGAAACGTAATAGTATATTTGTAATAAGTTGTTCTTCCGGATTTTCAGTGGAGGTCTAACTAGGATCGATTCGTGATTTAAAAACTATGGAAATTCGACGAACTACACAAAACATGTTATGGATAATAATCACGCGCTCACTAGTGGCTAGTTGTAAAATTCAACTCATAGGATGCTAGTAAGAAGCAGTGATCAGTGGAGTTCGACCATTTTGAATAGGAAAGTTGTCCACCAGGTGATGGAAGATGGTTGCAAAATGTCGTGAATTCATTAAACTTCAACATTATCACCGTAGGATATCGGAACACTGGTCTAGAGGTGAGACACTCACACGTGAGACCAAAGGTAATTTTTTATTCCAAGGTGTGTGGTCATGAATGATTACTGCTGAGATGTCCTATAGTGGAATGAAACGAACATCCAGTGATACCAGTCTTTTCAACGCTGGTCCAACCAAGATTAGTTTGTGACTTAAAAACTACTAAAGTGGAACTTTTGCTTTGTAGACAATGGATAATTGCTGATGACATGTATTTCTTGGATAGTTCTACAAATATCAGTCACACTTTTAGTGAGTACTGAATGGAGAATAAATACACTGAGTATTTTTCTCTCTAGAGACAACCAGGTATTCTCTGTAGAGCATTGTCACTTTTCGGTTTATGAACTTGGAATACTACTAAAACTGCCTGATTTATTTCTCAAGTGATCAAACACTCAAGACATACTAGTGAGATATAGGCGGATTCAGGCGTTAAACGTTAGGACTACTCACTGTTATATTTCTAAATATTATACATTATTCGTTCCTAGTTGGAAAGTTGTTCTTTGATTGTGAAGTCACAAAGAAGTTAATTTTTAGTAACCCAATACAACAAAACAATAGTCAGATTCATCGTGTCACTGCATTGGATGTTAACTTGCAATCTCACTCCTCCTATGAGGAACATTCCAAGTGCATTATTTATGAGCCATAATATATTCTTCAAAACAGTAGAGCTTCGAGTGTATAGAAACTATTAGAAGTGGAACTGATATGTTGCCGTCCACAGCAAACAATAAATCGTTCTTTATACATGGAACCATTCAGCTCACAGAATACACATCCAATGAAGCATAAAACTGCTCGGCACCCAATCCTATTCCTCAGCACAATCGATAAGACATTATCGGAATCTGAATATTAACAATGACTGTTGTGAATATTCTACTTGCTTGCTCACCTCTATTTGTCTCTTTTCTTTGTTTGTCTACACTGAAATATGTTTTCTAGCTAATCCAGGTCTATCAGAAAAAGATAAAAAAGATTTGGAATTGCTTAAAAAGACTCCAGAATTTCAAAAAGTCAAAGCAAAAATTATGGCCCTATTAGATGAGAAAATAGACAAATTTGTTCTGGATCAAATACGTAACAAGTAGTAAATTATTCTCTAATGAACTGCAAAATGCATGGATCTGTAATACACTACTCAACAAATGTTGTTTCACATTGATCTATTTCTTTATTAAAACGATTTGAAACTTCGATTTATTTACTGATATACATTGGCTGTGAGTTGGTTGTAATAGTTCATTGTTCAGGTGATAATTAGAAGTGTTCGAATTCATGTACGAACTAAGAATTCGTGAATTAGTGCAATTTAAGACAGGAAGAACTAGATGAACACAAATGAAAGTATTGTATTTGGAATTCGTAATCAGTGTGTAATCAAGTACTAATGAATCAGTAGTAAGTGCAAACACCATAATATCACACCAGTGTCTTAGATGTGATGTGATAGTTTCGATTGTACCTAGACAATCCATTAATTTTTTGAATGTAGTCATATCCAGTAGATGAAACTTAACCATATGAAAACTCAAACCACAATAAAACTGCACAGTTCATCCACTTTGAAATGATGATATGGAGACTTCTTTACAAACAGTCTATACGTCAATAGAGAATTGTGAATTTATTACTGAATTAAGTAATAAAACACAGAACACTTTAATGCTCACATTAAATGTACAATGAGACGTTTTATAGATAAAATATTTGACCGTTATTATACTTACCGATTTGTTGAATACACTGGAAACCTTGGATTTATTATGAGTGATTATTATGAGAATATGGAAAAGTGATCTCGAGATATATTCAGACTTGCACTCACTGTTCATTTATTAGTTCACCCAACATCCATAAAGATTTTATATCCATATTTTCATTCATGTCATTTTCTGAAGTGCGAAATCTTTATTAATATTACTATCAATAAGAGAATCAATACAATTTGTATTTCGGCCGGTTAACTAATTGAATATTCGTTCATAAGTTTGTTATTTTTTGAACTGAATAACTATTTAAGTCAAGTGTGTTGGATTTGCTATAATGTCTAGTATATTGAGTTTATAGGTATCAATGTCAATGTTGAACTTTATAGTTTCAGATAAATTGACTATTGGTTAGAAAATTAATATTTACCCTGTGGAAGTGGCCTTCTTTAAGTCTCGAAATGCTGGAAATACCATTTTTACTACTCGCTGGACATAAGGATTATATATTTGTTGTATGGCATAGTTCTTGTAGATAGTTGTCATTAATTTTTCCCGTAACACTGTACATCTGATGAAGTGAATGCCACTAAATGAGGTCGAGTTATCTGCGACGTTAATGCTTAGTAATTAGCATCTTTTTTTCAAAGAATGCCGTCAAATATTTTTCACAGATTTCTCATGCTTTTGAGTTTACATTATCTTTCTTAATATCATCTGAGTAATCATGTTTCCAGGAGTAGTATCGAGTACTACATTTGGCATCTGATATATGAATCACTAGTAGCTGGAATATAATATGTATTTACAAACTGACATTGATCATTGCCGTAAATCCTATGCCATAACTCACATTGTTTTTCTAGGGAAATCTCTGCCAGTTCGTTTTGTGATGAATTTTGTATTTGGAATTCAAAATCATGCAGTTATCAAGTACAAAAAAATTATTAGTTCATACAGACACCACAAGTAGTCTTTAATCTTTGACATTTATCGCCATCGGTCTCAAATAATTAGCATTTCTGAAATACAAACCATTGCAGTTTTTCCGCCTTTAGATAAACAAAATGAAAACCATTGAGCATTGCAGATCTAATTACGGAGAATTTATGGTTACGTTATCCAAGTGCAAACCAATTAAACACTTAGTGATATTGCTTCCTTTCTATCATATAACTAAGTTAACCCAAACTTACAGTACACAATTCAGTCTTTATATAACACTTGGAAAGCCTCCAAAATGTTTCTATTCATCTTTCACAAACCACTTTTATCAGTACCGGACAATCAAACTAACAAATAATCAATTTTGACAGGTAGTTTTTCAAAGTATGAATAAGTGGTCACTGTTTAACTGTGAGATCATAAGCATTTAGTTATATTTCTGAATCGTGATGTTAAAGGCAATTAAATGAATTTTCTAGGTGATAAGTGGACTTTTGTGACACTTTACTTATGATAGAAATGAGTAATAAATCAATTCTACTCAAACGAGACACAACAATATGTGAATGGTATAATATTTGAAGTACTTATTCACTACAACTTAACTAAAAAGTAGTAAGTCCCAATATAAATTATTGTAGCGACAATTCCTAGTTGATCGGTTTTCCTCTCAAATGATGAATAATATTTGGTTCTAAGTTAAAAACACTTATTGATTTTTACTTGTGGAATAAAATACACTTACAGCTGTAAGAACATTTAATGTATTTACAGAGAAGCAGTATACATCAATACAGCGAACAAAGGATGGGAGTGATTTTATCTTGAGAATAGATTGTGGTAGACTATTCCAGAGTCTGGAAAATTTACTGGTGAAGCAATTCATAAAGAGAGATGATTTAGAACATGTATATTTCACTAATGAGGAGTTACGGATGCCGTAACTAGTAATTTCTCCTTATTGAATTACTTCACTGGGTGTAAAGGATAGTGTAATAAATATTTTGAAGAGAAAGATTACAATGAGTCCGAGTCCCCTCTTCCATTAAGAGTCCAGTTCAAGTTTATTACACTTGGACTTATAATTTAAGATGCACCCAGTCCCAGGAATGAGAATGGTAAATAGTCTCTGAACGGGTTCCAATCTTAATTAATCCTTTATGAGAACACTACTAAGAATAAACGCACAGTATTCTAGGAGCGGTCGAACACATTTTATACATGGAAATACGTGACTCATTGTTATAGAAGTTACGAATTATGCAACCCGTAAGATGGTGAAACTTGGAGGTCTGTTTCAACACCTGTTCTGTAATGGACAAATCGTCGGGGTACCTACATCCCAAGTCTACTACTTAGATAATACCTTACCATTTATGGTAAGATCTAAATTGAGGGATATATTACCGAAGCACATCCATAAAGATTTACATGTGTTAAGCTTCAGTTTCTATGTTGAACACTACTGCACTACATTGTTAAGCTTCATACTGATGCAATTTCGCATATTGTTCAGCTCATGAGGAGAAAATTAATACACTACTTTAAGATTATCTGCATATAGAAGAAGCCTACGCATACAAAAGCAATCGTAAATATCATTTATATAAACTGGAAAGAGTAAAGTGTCTATAACACTACCTTATATTACAGCACTTCTGACTGGGATAGCATCCGAAAAGGAAGAGTTGATTTTGACTGTTTGATGTCAATGGCTAAGAAAGGAATTTAATCAAGCAAGAAGAGCGTTTTTGACCCCGGAAGAGGAGAGTTTACCCATAAGAAGCGGGTAGTTAACCATGTCAATAGCTTTAGAAATGCCAAAGTATAGCAATAATGCTAGTTATCCTCAGTTTTGTTGAGTAAAGCCTAAATCACCGAAGTCAAACTGACAGGTCATACAATATGGAATTTTAAGAAATCCATGTTGAAAATAATCCAGGAGATAACTGAAGTAATATTTATGGGCCGATAATTTTTTCGTGTCACTCATATATTCAGATCTGTAACGCGTTATGATAATACTCCGTTTTTCAAAGATAAGGATAAGTCCCTGTTTTCAGAAAGAGAGAGTAAACAGCTTTAGAAGAAGAATTGGAATAACCGGTCCACTATATTTGTAGAGAAAGAATAAAATCTCGTCTACTCCATAACCGCTTGAAACATTAAGGGAGTTTATAGAGCTAATAATTTTTAGGTTATGTGAAGGAGATAGTTTTCATTGAGTTGATGGTCACATACATAACTTCTGGAACGGTGCCATTTAGGAATCGATTATTATTCTCAAAAATACCTTTGTGAAGGTTTGCAGTGGTTTTAGAGTCATTTAGTAAAGTGCCAGTAACCGTAGGACACGTTTGTTTCTTGCAGTCTGTCTAGTATTAGGCCTGCTTACACGAAGGTTGTTGTGATCGTTCTGTGCGTCATTTGTGCAAAGTATATTTCTTTGATTTAGAAAGTGGGTTACTGACAAGTCGTTGGGATGATGAAATGGTGGATCGACCAGTTCTTGTCTGTGTGCTCATATAAGCACCCCTACGATTAGTAGAGTCAAACCTGCTGTCGAGAAGTATATTTTTGTTTGGTTGAGCTTTTGCAATGGTTTTGGTACTAGTTTTGGAACCAGACACTTCCTTATATACTTTTTTATTTTAACTGTGTTTTGGAGAACTTTCATGTTAGAACTAGGTATTTGGGTATGCGCTTCTGATGTTAAATCAAATCTATGTCTACACTAGGTATACATTAGTTATCTAAAGTCTCTACAGGCTTAAGTGGCAAGTTAGCATTCGTTATTGATAAATCAGAGTGTTGGCTGACAGGCAATATGTTAGTCACATCAGTGGATTTTGGTGCTGAGGCAGTGGGATTGTTGTAAATTCAACATCATTATTTTCGTTTAAGGTATGCTCTTGCGTAGGTTTTTGATTGGTGGTTTTATCTGAGAAGGTACGAAGATTCTTAAACTTCGTAAGTGCTCAGATTAACCGTTCAGATTCCTTCGGTTGTTCAGCTAATATATGTCAATCCAACCTAAACAAGATAGGACACGTGAACGTCTGGTGCTCTTTATTAAGGTAAATAAATTGACACAGACTATTTTAAGAGTTAGCTGCTTTCAGTATCAAATTACCCACAGCTTTAAGCGTGATTTTGTCAGGTATGTTTTAAATGTTCACGTTATTTTGAGTGATCATCCTCTCAGTAACTTCGCCAGAAATAAAATCGATAACAGGTGTTACTTTGATAATGTCTCCAAGACCCACAGGAACCACGTCCTTAGATTATAGTAGATTAAGGAGTGGTGATGCTTTGAGTCCTTACTTATGACCACCATACGTTGATGAAGAGCTCTCAAGCGATTCCCCTTTAAATGACTTCAGTCTACAACTCATGTCGCTTGATCGCTTATACATATGGCCTAATTCACCATTTGTCATATCGATGCTAGTGGATCTTGCTGTAAA